TTTTTTTTTTTTTTTTTTTCAGAGCAGAAAGGACTGGTAAGGTCACATGCTTTATTCAAGGGGCTTGTTTGTCTGGGTTGGCATGCCATAACCCATAAATATGGGCCTTTCAAGTTATTCTTTCAAATTTGATCAAACCCATAGAAACACAGTCTCCTGTCATGAATATCAAGTGTGTATGTGTGTGTGTGTGCATGTTTTGAAAGTAGCTTATCAGTTAGCTAGGGAAAATATAGCCTCTACCCAGGTCTCAATGGGCAGCTAGACTACGCTGTGTCTGGAGGAGCCAAAGTCTGTGACAGATGGAGAGTCAGAACACCCTCTCACATTTTTAAAGATTTTTAAACTGCAAAGACTTTGTCAGCACATCCTGAGGTCTGGATGACCTTTCCTTCTTTGATAGAATGAGACTAGCCCGGGCTCTCAGAATGAGGAGAAAGCAGGAGAGGGTAGTAGCCTCCTGCAGAGTCCAGTACACCAGTCTGGCTGTAGAGCATTGGTTCTTACAATATTGATCTTGGGCTGAATTGGTGAGGCCAGTCTGTAGCTAGAGTTTTTCTCCAGTCCTGCCTGGCCCACAGTCAGGACAAATCTCTCACACCCACCAGTTCCGCAGCTGCTCAAACCTAACTGAGCAAACACACAGAGACTTATATTACATATAAACTGTATGGTCACGTCAGGCTTCTTGCTAACTAGTTCTTATATCTTAAATTAACCCATTTCTATTAGTCTAGAAGTTGCCACGTGGCTCGTGGCATCTTACATCTTGCTTGTCATGGCAGCGGCTGGCAGTGTCTCTCTGCCTCAGCCTTCCACCTCCCAGAATTCTCCTCTCTCCTTGTCCCACCTATACTTCCTGCCTGGCTACTGCCCAATCAGTATTTTATTTATTAACCAACCAGAGCAACACATTTAACATACAGAACATCCCACAGCACCAGTCTGAGCTGGTAAAAGGCATATTATTTGCCTTTTCAATATCCTCTAGCCTAGCATAAAAGACAGCTTAAGAAAAAGCCAGTCCTAGGGGCCATTTGGAATGAATTGCTTCTCATCCAGGACCAAATTAGCATATTTTTATGATTTTTTTCATACTGTTTTGAGTCAGAGTCTCATTCTTTAGCCCAGGCTGGCCTTGAATCATAGCAATCCATTTCCCTTAGCCTCCAAATGCTGAGATTACAGGGGCGAGCCTGGCTGCTTCTTAATATTGGTGATGGATCCTGTGACATTTACTGAGCTGGACTGAGTACTTTGTGTTCCTGCGGCCTCATCCCACTTCACCACAGCACATATTACCAGTGAAGACAATGCCTGGCAGGCAGGGACTTGCCCGGGAGCCGCAGGGTGGAGGAATTGGAATTCCTGTGTGTCCTTGATCTCAGCACCGGTTTTTAATTATTAGCTCCACACATGCAGCCTCTTTGGACCCCCCCCCCCCTCCCGATGTTCTTACATTTAGGTGGACACAAGTGAGGAATTTAAGCCTCTGCCCTGCAATCCCAACTGGCCGACCAGTGAGTGAAACTTTAGAGACCACATATGTTAAGAGAATGCTTGACATCCAGTTTGAAATGTCCTTCTTTATGCTTTGTTTCCTCATCTTGGTAAGATAGATGCGTTAGAGTTGCCGTCTTTGTTGTGTACCTTTTATTACCATCCCCCTTCAGAATGCTTCCTCTGTGAACCCCACACCCATCAACTTCCCTTCTGCCTCCCACAGAACCTGGACCACTGTCCCTTTGTGGTATCAATTTTCATAGGCAAACTCTTACTGTGTCTGGTAGAAAGATGTCTACCCGGCACCATATGTGAACTAAAGGTCTCCTATCACAGATACTTCTCCCCATCCAGCCCCCATTAGTGATTTCCTTCAAGTGAGTTGGTCTGGACCTTACAGATTCATGGGGTTTAGAAAGTATAAAGAGGCTGGAGGTGGGGTGGGTGTGATACTCCTCCAGTGCTCCGAGGTTGCAGATCTTCTGGGGGCATAATCACATCTTTGGGATGGAACCCAGGGCATCAGGCATGCTAAGTGCAGGATTTGCTTCGGAGCAGAACCCTCTGTCCTTGCGTGTCTTGTTAGGAAGGCTCCTTGGGGATAAAGCAGCCAGGGTCACAGCAGCTCCAGTGACTTGCAGAATGGGGGTTCTTGGCCTGACTGCATCTTCCAGGCACTGGTGGCTTGTTCTTCCCATTGAGCACCCCTCCTGGGTAGGGCGGCATGATGATTTGGGCTTCTCCTGTGCCTGAGCCCCGTCATCCCCGTCATCCTCGGGTCTGTCTCTGTGCTCATGTTGCTTCCCTGACTCTTGCAGGAGATGGCCCGGCAACTACTGGCAGTGTTTGGTGGCTACTACACTCGGCTCCTGGTGACCTCTCAGCTCCCCCAGGCAATGGGAACCCGACACACAGACTCTGCAAGGGTCCCATGCCCCTGTCAGCTCATAGAAGCACACATTCTGGGCACAAGATGCTGCCCTTTCCTGGCCAGGTGACCTAGGGACAAAGATGTTCATCTTCCTCCAAGACTGAGAAGTGGGGGAGGAGTCAGGAGCCTGGCATGGCTGACAGTGAGCTCAGATGAGATCAGCATTTGGGGACACTTTGGAGAGTGTCTGTCATGTTGGCCATGGGGTCATCAAGGGCACACCAGATGTCTTGTTGGCGTCATATGCTGCCCTGGCCTTGCTGAATCTGGTGGCTGAGCTGGAGTTGCCTGGGCCTGCAGCCTGGGTAGAGGATCCTGTCTGTGGCCTGCGGAGCACCAGAGTCCTGCAGCTGACTTTACAGGGCTCAGGGAGGACACTGCCCTCTCCGAATTGCCCCAGGCTGCTGATGTCATAAGCACACCCATTTCCAGTGTGAGAGAAGGCCTTGGAAGGCTGAACCAGCATGTGAACTACAGTACTGTCTGGGCTTGTCTGTTAGCCCCTGGGCTGTAGACAACAGGGCTGCAGAACAGGGGCGAGGAGACCAGGCTTGGTGACCATCAACAGGGGCACTTGGAAAAGAACACCCTGTTGTTGGGACTCAGACTGATTTGGGGTAGCAACATGCAGGCTTGTGATTGAGATCCGTCTTGCAGAGCAACAGTGGTGTTTTCTGACATTCCACTGTTCTGGAATGAGGTGTGATCAGAGACTCTGGGTTTGAATAAAGAGCTCAACAACCTCCCCAAGAGCTTGAAGACTGCCCACAGCCCCATGTCCAAAGCCCTCGTCTGATGGGAAGGTCCAGCTCCAAGATCCAGCCTTTGTGGTTTCTGTCCCCCACAAATCACCATTATAAGTTGGATCTCTTCCCTGAACTGGCAGACGTGTTCCTGTTGGACTCTTATTCATGTTTCAGAATCCCTTCTGCTGCTTTCTGTCTCATTGAAATTCCTGATGGAGCTGTTCCTATTATTGATGTTTTATGTTACTCCATTTTTCTCCTGTACAAACCTCTTTTTCTATCGAAGACTGTAAACTCCTTAAGGTCCAACACTATATCCATCTTCCTTTTGTGAATGACCTAGACTTGCTTAGAACAAAATAATTCTGAAAAGTCCCATGGATCGGTTGGTTGCATTATCCTCTCCACCAGTTGTGGCAAATTGTTCTGCAAACATGGTTGATGAAGACCCGGTCATGATGGACCAGAGTTGTATCACTTTATTTGTCCACCTTCCATGTGCTGGATGGTTCCGGTCATTTCCAGCTTGTTGTGCTGTTTGTTATTCTTACCTCGGTGCACAAAGTTCCCTTGACCCCAACCGAGGTGATATGCCATCACGGGGTTCTGGCGAAGCTAGTAACCCGGGTTCTTCTTGCATACCTGCCATCTGTAGGGCTGCGTAGCCACGCTGAGTGCATTGCCTTCTCGGTGTGTCCACGGACTTCTTTATGGAGCTCTGTGGTGGCCTGAAATGGCACAGCCCTGTGGTGGCCTGAAATGGCACAGTGCAGCAGACTTTCTGGGTAAGACATGTCCTACCTCTTTGCTTTCTCTGTGCCCAAGATGGAGGAGTCCCCCAGCCACGTCTGGGGTAACTTTGCTTAGTGGAATTCATTCACTGTCTTTTGATCCACTGTGGGAAATGTCACTGAATTTGATCAAGGGAAACTGTGCTTGCCATCTGGTCACCGAAACCCTTCGGTATAATGATGGTGAATAAAGCTGTGTTTGGTGAATGACAGAGCGTCTCAGCTCATGGAAGCTTGGCGTGGTTCTTCCACATTCTCTCTAGAACTTCTACCTCCCTGCTGGGTGGGGCGTATGGGGTGGTGAGCTCATTGTGGGCATTTTGTGTGTGCCTCAGTTTCCTCTTTTGTAAAATCCATGTGTCTCACCTGCTTTACAAAGTTGCCATGAGGATGAACCATCCAGCTGGAGCCTGCTCTTAGATTTTTTTTAAAAAATATTTTAGTTTTAATCATGTCTGTGCACCTGAGTGTTGGTATTAAACCCAGGTCCTCTGCAAGAGTGGTCCATGCTCTCAACTGCTGAACTGTCTCTACAGCCCAGTGCCCCTCGGTCTTGAGGCTCTATGCCTACCAGAGGCGGGGGCCCGTGGACACACTGCCACGCAGGTAGGAGCATTCAAAGCCAAGTCCACTCATCCTTCCTGCCTTTTGGTCTCTGTCCCAAAAGTCAGTTGAACGGGGAGGAGAGCTCCTGCCTGGTGGGTGGTTGCGAAAACGAATAGAAACAACATGGTGTTTGCAATACCGAGTCACAAGCCGGAGCAGGAACTCAGTAACCTATCGTGGTTTCTTTTTTAAATTCTTGCTGTCTGGTACACAGTAGGGGCCTGCATGTGCTTAAGTCGACTCTTGTCTCACACCACAGGGGTATGCATGTGAATAAAGCCTTGTCAAGACTCAAGTTCAGTTAAGGATGGTGTCATGGCGAAGGGAGGCTGGGAGCAAGCTGGTGACCCTGGGTCAGATGCTAGCTTGCTCTGTGCTTCTTCTCACTTCCTCATGTCAGGACAGGGTTGTGTAATGATGGGACGACAGAGGTCCTGTCATGTGCCACAAGGCCTGTTTCCTGGTGTGTCCGTCTGAGGAAGCATCCCCCCCCTCCCCCCAGGCTTTATTTCATTTCTTTGTGGCGCTGGGGCTGAAAGTCAGGCCTCTTGCGTGTAAGAATACGGAGCATGTGCTGTCACTGAGCCACACCTCAGCTCTCAGTGGTGGCTTTTTTCTTCTCAGTAGCTGCTAGATGGTTTTCTACTTGAACATAAACACAGGTTTTTAACAGGTTGTTCAAATCTATCATTAATAATTCCAGTTAGTACCAGTAAGGGAAAAACTCCGGCCATGACTATAGATTGTACATTTCTTTTATTTCTACTGTTTTTAAAGTTAGGGTCTCTGTGGTGGTATTGTGTTCCCCGAAATATTGTGCACGCTAATAAACTTATCTGGAGTCAGAGAAAAGAACAGCCACAATATTAAACATAGAGGATAGACAGTGGCAGCACATGCCTTTAATCCTAGCATTCCAGAGGCAGAGATCTACCTGGATCTCTGTGTGTTCAAGGATACAACCAAGCATGGTGACTCATCATGCCTTTAATCCCAGAAAGTGAGCCTTTAATCCCAGGGAGTGATGGCAGAAAGCAGAAAGGTATATAGGGTGTGAAGACCAGGAACTAGAAGCTTTCAGCTGGTTAAGCATTCAGGCTTTCGAGAAGCAGTTCAGCTGAGATTCATTTGGATAAGGACACAGAGGCTTCCAGTCTGAGGAAAGAGGATCAGCTGAGGAACTGGTGAGGTGAGGAAGCTGTGGCTTGTTCTGCTTCTCTGTAACTGAGAGCTAGCCTTTCACTCTCTGTGTGGCTGAGATTGACCTTGAATTCCTAATCCTACCAAGACCTTCCAAATGCTGAGATGACCTGTGTGTGCAGTGCTGGGGTGGAACTCGGGGTCTTCTGCATGCTAGACAAGCACTCTACCAACCTAGCTGCATCCCTACCTCTCTTTTGACTTCTGACAACATTGTGTGTATATGTATGTGTGAATGTGTGTATGTATGTGGCGGGGTGCCTGTACCTGTGCACGTGTATGCCAAACGGGGATGTCAGGTGTCCTCTGTCATTCTCTGCCATGTTCTCCTGAGCCTGGGTCTCTCACAGAACTTAGAGGTTGGCCGGCAAGCCCCAGCAATCCTCCTGCATCCCCCTTCTTATCATGCTGTGCCTGGCTTTTTAAACATGGGTGCTGGCCCTATATGGTGGCTCACAACTATCTGTCACTCCGGTTCCAGAGGATCTGACATCCTCTTCTGGCCTCTATGGGCACCGGGCATGCATGTGGTACACAGACTACAAATAGACAAAACACCCATGTACATAAAAAACCTAGCAAAAAGAGAAAACATGAACACATAAGATGCTGGGTACTCCAACTCAGGTCCTCCGGCGTGTGCTGCTCACCAGGGAGCTGTGCAGGACAGGAAGCACGGGCTACTCAGCACATCTCTCCCTTGTCCTTTCAGTTTGGCTTGAACCTAAGATGACTATAAAAATGTCACCTAGCAAAATAGCGGCAAAAACTGGGGAAATAAAGGGTGATGTTTCACAAGAGCAAAAAGGGGCAACTCGTGGGAAAGCTGCAACTTGAGAGCTTGCCCTGGCTTCCAGAGGTCCCTGGTTTGGTTCCCGGCATCCACATCACAGAGCTCACAAGGCTCAGCTGCTGCTTACTCCAGCTCCAAGGAATCCAACGCCCTCTTCTGGCCACTTCTGGCACTTGCGCACATACAGGTAAATAAAAATTAAGTCTAAAGAAGGAAAAAAAAAAAAGCAAAATTTGCTAGAAATGAGTATCAGATATAGGCTATTAGAAAATATCCATCTATAAAAAAGTGTACAAGACTATTTAGAGCCCCGAAGGAGTGCATGCAACCCAACAGGTTCACAGACAAAATGTGGTATATGTACACAATGGAATAACACTCAGCCATCAAGAAAAACAAAACTGTGATACATAGGACAACATGGTCAAACCCTGCAAATACGCTACACAACAAAAATGCCATCCACTGCGTTATTCCATACATGAAATGTCCAGCATAGGAAAATCCAAAGGCAGAAAATGCAGCCATGGCTGTCAGAGGCCGAGAGGGAGAATGGGGAATGACTGCTATGTGAGTCATATAACGGGTCATTACAAAATGATAAGTCTTACAATTTGTGAATTATATCTCAAGAATTTTAAACTATATATATTTAAAACAGTGTCAGGGGTCTGGGGAGGTGGCTCATGTAATTCTGGCTGGACTGGAAATTACTGCATAGACCCGGCTGGCCTCAAACTCACAAAGATCCACCTGCCTCGGCCTCCTGAATGCTGGGATTAAGGGCTACACCCAGGTAATAGGTTTCTTTTCTGTTGTCTGGATATGTGATAGCTTATCCACTCACTTGCCTACTAAAGGGCACCCAAAATGCTCCTGGGCTCTGATAATTATGATTAAAAGCTGTTATAAGCATCCACACAATTTTCGTCTTCAGCCCATACAGGAACATGATTATTTCACTTTATAATAAAAGTATAATTAGTTTTGTAAGAAGCTGTCAAGCCGACTTTCAGGTTTCACAGGCTGCTTTGCATGGCTGTTGGCTGTGGATGAGAGTACTTGTTCTGCTTCTTTGGTGGCATTTGGTGTTGTTGGTTTCCGAGTCTTGGCCATGCTGACAGGTGTGTGGTGGCTTCCTGTTTTAACTTCCATTTCCCCACTGGCATATGATGTGAAGCATGTGTTCATGGGCTGACTTACCACCTGTGCATCCTCTTTAATGGAATGCCTGTGAAGAACTCAGGCTCATTTTAAAATAGGATTGTTTTCATATTGTTATCCTAATAGCTCTTCATACACTTTGGACCACAGTCCTGGTATTGTTAGTGTTTGCAAACAGTTTCTCCAGGTTTGTGTACAACCTTCTGGTACAACCTTGCGGATTTAGTCGTTCCAGGAGTTTCTTTGTTGGTTATATGGGGTTTTCTACATCAAGCCTCAGACTGCCTGTCAACAAAGTGATTTATTCCTAATCTATATACCTCTCATTTATTTTTCTTATGAATTAGCTAGGAAGACTCCCAGTATGAATTGAAGGGTATCGGTGGGAGGGAACATCCTTGTTTTGTTTCCCTCTTAGGAGAGTTTCTGGTTTCTAAATGTTGAGTAAAATATGTGCTATTTTTTGTTATTATACTTTCTCAAGCTGTGTAAGTTTCCTACTTCTAGTTTACTGAAAAAAATTGTCTTCCTTCTGATTAGTGGTTGCTCAGTACACTTTCAGTTTTAATCTATTTGCATTCTTACAGCTGAGGTGTCCACACAGTGGACATGCAATATTTGAATCGTTAAAGAAAAATTAGGTCATTTAAAAATATGATTTACTACATTATGTCTAAAGTATTTGGCATAAGTGTCTCTTTTGATCTTATTACTTTGCTGTGCAGTTTTCGAGACAGTGCCTTGGTCACTCCCCTTCCACTGGGAGAGGACACTCCTTAGAAACAGGTTCAAGGTGGAAGGACTTATTTTGGCTTGTAGTTTGAAGGTAGAGTTTGAAGGGCCAGACCTTCATGGTGGGGAACGCATAGCAGACTTCTCAGTGGCTGGAGTGTGTCGCTAGGACTCTGCACATCCTAGCATCCCAGGAAGCAGAGAGGGAGAATGCTGACACCCATCCAGCCTCTTTCCTTTTGTTTATTTTGGACCCTGTATTCACGGTGAGGCTTTCGTTCCTGGTTAACTTTTCCTAGAAAAGGAAGGCCTCATGGATGCACCTGGAGGTGTGCCTTCTAGGTGATTCTAGAACTGGTCAAGTTGACAGGGAAGATGGACCATCACATAGCATCTCGCAGCATTGCCCAGGCTGGCCTCAAACTTGCAATCTTCCTGCCCCAACCTCCTGCTTGCTGGGATCACAGTCTTACCCCACAGTAGTACCTGGTTAAAATGGACCGTCTTCCAGTTTTTCTATTGGTTTGCCTTCCCTGAGATAAGGTGATCACTTCCTACCTCAATTCTGTTTATTTTGGTAAATATAAAATATAAAAAATTAATTTGGCCTCTGTAAGCCACTTCTTTTAGTGGTCACCTGATTTCAGCAAGTGTCCCTGGCTGCTTGAGGTCTGCCATGTGAGTACTTGCACTGGCCTCTGGGCTAACAAAGCCCACACTGTCCTTCACTCTACCCCTGGGGCTGCTTTTTTTTCTGGGTCCAGTTCTCTGTATCCGAAAACATAACAGATATTATTAAAAATACTTATAGTCTGTATTCATTTATGTTTAACCATGTAATTTTTTATTACTTTTTTTTATCATCTTTAAAAGTTATTTTTATATTCCCAGCTTGTGCCTTGTGTTTCTTTCTCCTCCTGGGACTAACTTTCAACCTTATCTTATTGCTGTGTAGTGACATATTGAGAACTCCTGGAATAGTTTTCTTTCAGTACAAATCTTTTTTTTTTGTTTTGTTTTGTTTTGTTTTGAGACAGGCTTTCTTTGTGTAGCTTTGGAGCCTTTTCTTGGATCTCACTCTGTAGCCCAGGCTGGTCTTGAACTCACAGAGATCCCCCTGCCTCTGCCTCCTGAGTGCTGGGATTAAAGGTGTGCACCACCACCGCCCGGCTCAGTACAAATCTTATGGTGACATTTTCAGTATTTGCTTTACTGTCTCAATTTATTTTGAAAGATATTTTTGTTAAGTATAGAATTCCTGTTTCCTGTTTTTCTCCTTTTTTTCTGTAGCTGTATTCAGGTTTCCAGAGGAAAAGAACTGATAAAATGGATATATACATATATATTAATATATAACATATACAATTCCATATATAATTCTATTAAATCCCTTGTAATACTTATGTTAATATATTATATACACATATATAATCATTAACACAATAATAGATATAATTATATGTATACACTATATATATAAAACAAGGGGATTTATAAGAGTTGCTTAGGGTCTATGGTCTGACTAGCCCAACAATGGCTGTCTCTTGATGGAGAGGCCAAGAATCTGGTGGTTGTTCAGTCCATGAGGCTGGATCTCTTAGCTGGTCTTTGCTCTGTATTGGGATCCTGAAGAAGTAGGTTCTTAATACCAGTGAAGGAATGCCTCAGAAGCAGGATAGATGAACTTTCCAGTGAATTAAGCAGGAGAAAGTAAAAGCTTCCTTCTTCCATATCCTTTTATGTGGGCTGCCACCAGTGACTGTGGCCCAAGTTAGGGTTGCTCTTCCCAACTCAAATGATCTAATCAATAAATCCCCCGGGGGCATGTCCAGCTGCTTGAGTTTTAGTTGATTTCAGATGCAGTCAAGTCTTCAGCCAAGATTAGCCATTAGAGCAGGCCAGGCTGGCTTTGAACTCACATCCATCCTGCTACCTTAGCCTCATGAGTGCTTTAACTTTTGGCTCTTCTTCAATCTGAACCCACAAATTGAGGACCCATTTTGGAACTAGGAAAGGAAGCCGTTTCCTCTCCAGTATCTTTAGCTTTAGCTATTGACAAAGTTGTTCATTGTACCAGCTGCCAACAAAAAATTATTAAAAATTCTCAGTTCCATTTTTCAAAATTTTGTTTTAACATTTTTTTCATTTATTTTACATTTGTACCACAGTTTCCGCTCCCTCCTCTCCTCCCCTTCCTCCCCCGACTCCCATCTACTCCCCTCTACATCCACCCCTCCTCCATGTCCATCAAAAGGGTAAGGCCTCCCATGGGTTTGAACAAAGCATGGCACATCAAGTTGAGGTAGTTCCTCCCCCTGCAAAAAGGCTGGGTGAGGTAATCCAGCATGGGGGACAGGTTCCTAAAAGCCAGCTAAGCGCCAGGGACAGACAGGTCCTGATCTCACTGCTAGGAGCCTTACAAACAGACCAGGCTACACAACTGTCACACACATGCAGAGAGGACCTAGGTCGGTCTCATGCAGGCTCCCTAATTGTTGGTCCAGAGTACATATGCTCTCACGAGTGCTCAGATCAGCCGTCTGAGTTTCCTGTCATGACCTTCACCCCCCTGGCTCATACAATCCCTCCTCCCTTTCTTCAGGAAGACTCTAGGAGCTCTGCCCAGTGTTTGGCTGTGGATCTCTGCATCTGCTTCATCAGTTACTGTATAAAGACTCTCTGATGACAATTAGGGCAAGTCACCAATCAGACTACAGGAGATGGCCAGTTTAGGCACTGTCTCCACTATTGCTGGGGGTCATCCTTGTGGATTCCTGGGAGTTTCCCTGGGACCAGGTCTCTCCCTAATCCCAAAATGCCTCCCCCTATCAAGATGTCTGTTTCATTACTCTTCACCTCTGCCCAGCCCCAACCCATTCCCTCAAGTTCCCATTCTTCTGCTCCCCCCATCACCACCCCCAGTTTACCCAGGAGATCTCTTCTATTTCCCCTTCCCAGGGAAATCCATGCATCCCTCTTTGGGCCCTCTTTGTTTTCTAGCCTCTCTGGGGCTCTGGATTGTCAGTTATCCTGTGCTTTACTCCTAATATCCACTCATGAGTGAGCACACACCATGTCATTGTTTTTAACTACTGAGTAGTACTCCATTGTGTAAATGTACCACATTCTCCTTATCCATTCTTCAGTTGAGGGATATCTAGGTTGTTTCCAGGTTATGGATATTACAAATAATGCTGCTATGAACATAGTTGAGCAAATGTCCTTGTGGTGTGGTTGAGCATCTTTTGGGTATATGCCCAGGAGTGGTATTGCTGGGTCTTGAGGTAGGTTGATTCCCGATTTTCTGAGATATCACCATACTGATTTCCAGAGTGGCTGTACAAGTTTGCACTCCCACCAACAGTGGGAGAGTGTTCCCTTATTCCACATCCTCTCCAACATAAGCTATCATCAGTGTTTTTGACCATAGCCATTCTGACAGGTGTAAGATGGCATCTCAGAGTCATTTTGATTTTCAGCTCCATTTTTTTTAAAAGCAGGCAGTGGTCAGTCTGGGGACAAGAGCAATACCTGTGTGTCATTCTCTCATTGATGAGGGCAGCATGACCGAGGTGTTAAGAGTGTGGACTAGAGTCAGACTTCCTGAGTCTGAGTCTCATCCTGCCACTTACTATTAGTAACCTCTAAACTATAATTTACTCACTCTAGGCCAGTTTCCTAGGCTGTAAAACCTGGGTAGTTTGCTAACCTTGTTGGCTTATGAGCACGTAGAAAGGGAAGCTGTAGCCAGACTTTCCATGTATTTGTATGACTACACTCACACTGAGGTGTGGCTAGCTTCCCATGATGATTAATCTTCATGGGCAATTTGGTGGATTTAGAACCACCAATGAAACACACCCTGGACTTGTTTAATAAGGAGGGAGGACCCACCCTTAATGTGGGTAGCACCATCCCAGGGAATGGGATCCTAGACTAACTAAAAAGGAAAAAAGGAAGTGAGCGAAGTGCCAGTCTTCACCTCACTCCCTTCCTGTGGATGCATTGCGACTAGCTACCTCCCTCTGTGCTGCCTTGATGGACTATTAGGTCACAGTGACCTGCTGATGTTGCCTTTGTCAGTGTTTTGTCACAGCATTGAGAAAGTGACACAGTTTTAAGCGTAGATGTGAACACAGTTGTGTGACTCAAGCATCAGGTTTCTTTATCTTTCTCTCAAGGAGGGACAGACACAGGGGGTGCAAATACAGGATGTTGAAGTCCTAATTCTGGAGGCAATGACATAGGAGTTGGGGACCCCTTGGGATGGGACTAGGGTTAGTGCCCTTATAAAAGCTCAGCAGAGACTCCTCGTCCCTTCTACCATGCAGGACATAGCAAGAAGGTGCCCTGCATAAGGAAGTGCTCTCTCACCAGACGATGTGCCTGCTGGTTCCTCAGTCTCACACTTCCAGCCTCTAGGACAGTGAGTGGTCCACATGATCCTGATATTTATGAACCATCTTTTCATGGTACACTGTCACAATAGACTGAAGAGACAAGACCGGATACTTCAATCCCACACATCTGGCTGTGCCATTCTGCATCTGTGTCCCCTCGTCCTCTTCAGGATGTCCTTGAACACAAAGCTTTCGTTGCCTGCCCATTTCTTCTACCATCACACCCCAGTGCAGAGTGTTACTTGAGTCAGTACAGACTTTGAAGCTTGTGACCCTTGCATGCCCCTAGGTCTCTATCCCAGATTTTCTGATTTTGTTTCTTCTTCTTGGATTGGCCAGTTCCCTTTCAACCCTCAGAGCCTTCAAGTCCCAACTCCTCCAGGAAACCTCCCCTGAACCCCAAAGTCAGGAATAAAATGCTCTTTCTTCCTCTGCTTCCAAAGTTATCCTATTATATCTGAGTGGTAGGCTTCTGCCTGAGATGGAAGCCACCATGGGGCTCATGTTCTGACAGTATTTCAGGCTAGACAGTGCTGCATGGTGGTGCTGCCCATGCACTGTGCAGTCCTGAGGCTGCTGACGGCAGGGCACTCCACCATGGTCAGTACCACTATGCCCTGTGGCTTTGAGGATAGATGGGGCTCACTGTATGTGAGCAGAATCATCTCCTCTGGCTTGAGATGTTTGCAGTAGCACCCATCTGCACAAGCCTTTCCCACTATATGGCTTTCCTAGGTACTTGTGGGTTGGTTAGGAGGAGCTGAAGTGTTGTAGAATAGTAAAACTACCTCTCCTACGAGAGATGGCAGCTTCGTCTTATTGCACATTCATAGGACTCACAGAGGTAGGCTGAGAAGTGGGCCAAGAGAAGGGACACATCTTCTGATGCGACTAAGGACTTTAATTGCAAGCAGCCCCCCTTCCCGGCTGCGTCAGGAGCTGGAGTGACTCATGCTGGTGTCACAGGAATAGCTCAGACCTCTTCTCCTCCTGAGGTAGAGTTTTTGAATCAGTCTTCATGACTCCTGTCCACTGCCTTCTTCATTGTCTGGAGACCTTCCAGCAGCTGCACAGCTCAGAACCTACAGGATGTTGCCCCTAGAACCTTCAGGGTTTCCTAAGGTCACATGCCTTAAACACTGGCCAGTTGTCAGAGCAGTTGTGTGAAAGTCTCCTTTGAAAATCCTTTTGATGACCACTTACGTTAATATCTGAAAGAAGAGGGGAAAAGACAGCTTGGACAAAGCTTTTATTACAAACAAGTCTAATCATAGTCTACCTAGGATTCCTATGATTGTTCATGACTCTAAAACCAGGGCTGGAGACATAGCTTAGCTGGTAGAGTGCTTGCCTAGCATACAGAAAGACCTGGGTTCAATCACCAACACCGCATTTAATAGATGTGAAGGTGCACATCTCTAATCTCAACACATGGAGGTGGGGTGATCAGAAGTTCAAGGTGATCTTGCTGGTTAGTTTCTGTCAACTTGCCACAAGCTGCAGTTATTTAGAAAGAGGATACATTAATAGAGAAAATACCTCCATCAGTTGGGCCTGTTGGCAAGTCTATAGGACATTTTTTTGGTTAATGATTGATATGGAAGGACCCAACCAACTGTAGGCAGAGCCACCACTGGACAGGTGGTTCAGGGTTGTATAAGAAAGCAGACTGAGTAAGCCATGGAAGGCAAGCCAGTGAACAGCACCCTTCCATGGCCTCAGCTTCAGTTCCTGTTTCCAGGTTCCTGCCTTTAGTTTCTGCTCTGACTTCTGTCAGTGATGGACTGTAAGCTGTAAGCTAAGATTCTTTCCTCTCTAAGTTGCTTTTGACATAGTCTTAATCACAACAATAGAAAGCAAACTAATATGGTAAAACCTCAGCTAAATAGTGAGTCTGAGGCCAGCCTAGGCTACATGAGACCCTGTTTCTAAAATAATACCCCAAATAAAAACAATAGATTCTGCTGGTTTGAGCTAAGATTGACCCCAAATTATGCTAAGCACTTGAGACTGATGGTTTGTTAACATAGCATAACCTAACTGATTCTAACTAATACACATGCGCATAGCTTATTGAGTGACTTCTTTGGGGCATAGTCTAAGTGTGTATATGTTATAGTTTACCTTACAACCACCTGGACAGAAGATGTCATTTTCATTTTGCAGAGAAAGAAGACTGCCAGCAGCACACTCAAGCTCCTAAGTGGCTGATTTTAAACTTCTCAGTAGGATGGTATCCAGAGATCTTAACTAAGACCTAGAAACTAATATCAAATACCTAATATTGTCTGTGGATGGTTTGGTTACAGGTTGGGTAACTATTCCCCTTCTGCACCTACAAAGTCTTAAAGAAAGTGTCCCAGCAAGAAGTGACTGGGGAGACTGAGTCCCCAAGAAGTAACTCAGTCTTGTACCCATTGTGCCAAGTGTGGACTTACTGAGGGGCCGTGGGTGATGCTGTTGGGACTTTGTTGGAACGAGGCAGCTAGCAGCAGTGTTGAGGGTAGACTCACTGGCAACACTGTTGCAACAGCAACAGAAGATCTTGGATGCCATGTGTTGGTGGGGTTGGGAAGAGGAAAAGGTGTCGGGTAGCTGGCTGTGCAGCCCCAATCCCAGAAGCCCATTGTTGTTTAAGCAATGGGTCACACTGGTCTCCTCCCCACCCACTGTCAAGCTGCTTGTGGCTCCCTGTGGCCTCCTGAAGTTCACCTGTTCAGTTCCACCACTCTGAGGGCCAGCCCTTCTTCACTGTCCGGAGTTCACCTGTCAATAGAAGGGTGACAAGCCCATACTCTGGTGCTCCTCCTTCAGCCAGCAGGTAGTGATGGGGGTCGTTCCTTACAGCTCATTGGCTTAGCTCTTTCCTGAATGAACCCAAGACTATAGTTGACATATTCTTTGTCAGGTCTCTGACAGCAGAACTTTAGCACATACAGCCCATGCATAGATGAGGTGAGTTATCTTCTGCTTGCAAGGATGCTGAGTGGACCTTTAGGACCTGAGACTCTGCTTCTCATCAGGATTATGCATCTGCTTGTCAACTGCTCCTGTGATGGTGATGGTGGAGGCTCCTGAGAAGTCCCTCTGCTTGCTGTCCCCTTTTCTCGTGGGCCTCATTGGTTCCAGTTAATTCCAGTTGGGCCTAGGTCTGAGGGAGCAGGACCATGAAGTTCATTCAAGTCCTTGCCTCACTGCTAATTGCTGTGTGGCTGTGGCCTACTTCTTGCCTGTCTTTGGCCTGAGGGCCACATCGACAAGAGAGATGATTGACCGGGTCATCTTCCCAAGGCTCTGATGACCCAAGGTGGTAAGTCTACCATATTCCAATCGCCTTTCTCTCTTCTGTGTCCTGCTCTAGAACCCTCTTCTCTATAACAAAGACCTTGTTAGAGAAAAAAAAAATGACAGATGGGTTGGTTGGTATGCGAAAGGAACTTGCATGAAAATATCCTTCGTGAATGGGCTTTAATAGGAGAGATGGTCAAGACTGTGAGATCATGACTGAGCCTCGAGGTGGGAGAGTATTAGAAAGGGGACAATACATTACATCAGATACTGCATGATAAGGACTTGAAGGGAGAAAGAGGCTTCCCTTTAAAACCTAGAAAGGAGCTTCATTGAGAGGTGTGGCTTAAAGAAAGAGATAGCTGTCATGGACAGCATGAGGCAGGGAGGCCTAGAGAAGAAACCTTCAGAGCAAACTCCCCGATCAAAGGAAAATAGGTAACTTTTGTATCCTTTTAGCGGGTAGCAGGAGGGTCTGCACTGTGTGTGATTTAGTTCAATAAAGTCTATGTGACAAAGCACATGAAAATGCCAGGTACTAAGCAAGATTAGAAGTTAGGTGATGTTAGGCACAGCGTGACTTATTAACTCTCTGTCCCAGAGACACGGTGGTGGGGGCAGGAATTGGGAGTGTAGGGGTGGACAGACCTGATTTCAAGATATGGGATGTGGCCTCTCAGAGTGACCAGAATCTTAAAGGGTTGGGTCTAGGATCTCATAGTCCCCACTTTGGAAATTTCCACCATAGTTGTTGAATGTCAATCATAGCACTCCAAGTCTACTCTGTGGTGTCATTGTTGGGCTCTGGCTTCGCATCTACCTTTCTAATCTCCTCCCTATCCCTCTCCCTCCCTGCTGGGTTATTTGCATTGGCTGCAACTGCTTTCTTGCTCCTTCCAGTTGGTCTTCCTTGAATGAGTCAGGTCATATCACTTCTGTCTGCAACCTGCTAGTAGCCACTGTGATGGCTAATGTTGGCTGTCAACTTGACATACTTGGGAAGACAGAACCCTGATTAAGGAATTGCCCCTATCATACCGACCTGTGGGCATGTCTGTTGGGGCATTTTCTTGATTGCTAGTTGATGTAGGAGGGCCCAGCCCAGATTGGGCATGCCACCCCTGGGCATGTATGTGGTCCTTGGTTGTATAAGCAAGCAGGCCCAATGTAAGCAGGCAGGAGGAAGCAACCCAATAAGCAGCATTTCTCTGTGTCTTCGGCTTCAGTTGTCCTTGCAGAGTCCCTGCTTTGGCTTCCCTTGAGGATGAACTATAAATCTGTAAACTAAAGCTCTTTTTATTCCCCAAGTGTCTTTGGTTATGGTTGTTTATCACAGCAACAGAAAAGTGAAGTAGAAGAGCCTCCTTTGCCCTGCAGGATAAGAGCCCGTCCTTGCCTGGGCCTCTTCTGGAGGAGTGTGAAAGCACCTTCACCTTGCCTTAGTCCTGACCAGCGCTGTCTCCTCCTCATCCTCTTCTCTGGGTTACAGCAGTCAAGCATGCCTGCTGCTCTTCATTTTCTCATCTTCTTTCAGCAGTGCTTTTTCCTAGAAGTCTGGCGGGTGGTGCTCCCCACCCACTCCTTCGCCCTTCAAGCCTTTGCTTACAGGCTGCCTCGGCTAACCTTGTCTGGCCCACTCACCTTACTTCTACGACTCTCCACACTCTTATTTCTCTTCCCATGCCTTGCTATATTCGAACTCTGCCTAGAATTGACTTATTTGTATGTGCTCAGACCCTCTGGGGGTGGGGAATGGGTGAATGAACCTGGATTTATCCTGCTCTTGTCCTGTGCATAAGCAGGCGATATCAACAGGAAGCAGCAGGAATCATTCTTAATTCAAGAATGCCACAACTAATAAGACACTGTCTTATCCATCTGCCAAGCTAATTGATGGTTTTGTGGATGACTTGTGGGGGGTACATTGACCATCTATTGATGGATTCCATGGTAACCCATCTGCTTATCTTCTTCCATTGGTCCCTCTCTGGGGGCAAGTCCTATTTATGTTATATCTAGAGACAGGAATGGAGAACCTCCCTCACCCCATTGCCCTCCTCACAATGAATTATTCTTCAAAGCCTTTTGATCCCAATCTGTACATATCTTCCATCAGCTACCCCATGCCTGTTGCCCTTCCTGTTACCCTGTCTGCCTCTGGTTCATGACCACAGATTCCTCCTGGTCACTTTGGCTCACTTGCAGCCAGAAGATCTGCTCCATGGTAAACTCCATCACTGTTTTGTGAGCTCACAAGGGTTCCCTGTCCAGCTGCTTTAGACTCTGGCCCTGTAGACACCACCTGTCACCCTGTGCTTGCTCTTGGCTCCCTCCCTGCTGTGAAGCATGGGAACTCCCCACTGGGGTCCAGCCTGCTCTTTCCAGGATTCCTCTGTGCCGTTCACCTGCTGTTCCTCCCTCCCTCCCTCTCTCCCTCCCTCCCTCCCTCCCTCCCTCCCTCCCTC